TGATTTGAGTCTTGGGCGCTTGGTCGAAAACCCCCCGTCTGCTCATTTACTGCATAAGTGTCCTCCGCATAATAGCACTCATCATTAGGAGGTGGTGGTTTAGCCAAGTAGTTGACTGCATTTATCTTTTCTGCACCCCCTGTGACATGTTTTAGTACCAACCTAAGCTCAGTTCTAATTTGGGCCATTTCTTCACGAATCTCATGTGTGGCTGGGTTGTGAGTGGACTGTACTGCGAAGGTGTTTCTCCCTGTATCAGACTTCCTAGTACTCCAAGCTTTGTTATTCTGGTAGATTTTCTCTAATTTTTCAACAATCTCAGCATAAGGACACTCCCCATAAGATCCACCTACTATAGTGTACAACACCACTTTATTGTTATCATCCAGTCCCCGATAGAAGTATTCCTTCAGTGACTCATCATCTATACGGTGATTTGGAACAATTCTCAAGAATGAGGTGAATCTATCCCAAGAACTACTAACTGACTCTCCTGGTAATGCCACAAAGTTGTTCACTATGTCCTTGTGGTTTAATTTCTTAGAGACCGGATAGTAGCGTGCTAAGAAGACATCCCTTAGTTGGTTCCAAGTGAATATTGAGTTGTATGGGAGCTCAGTGAACCATATAGCAGCCTCTCCCGTCAGTGAGAAGGAAACAATCTGAGACCTATTACATCTAAATCCAAATCAGGCCTCCTTACACAACTTTTACACAGTGCCCTTACCTTAGCTATATGGGCATTTGGATCCTCAGAAGGTAGCCCTGAAAACAAAGCTCTGGCAGTGAGCATTTGCATAAGGCTACTAGTTACCACAAAAGGGTGGCCTGTGGGTAGAGGAGGCAAAACCAGTGGCCCATCCGAGTCTGCTATGTTATCATAGCCTTTGTAGTATGCTTGGGGCCGTGGAACAGGATTTTGTCCCCTCTGTTGGTGTTCACCCGGATCATCGGGTAACATCTGAACATGAACATCAATCGGAGCTGGGATGTTATGGTTCGGATCATCATCATTTATTCCCAAGTTTCAATTCATATTGCACAGTGTACGCTCTAAGTCGTAATCGTAGGCAAAATAAGGGTTTTTTCCTCTCCGTGTATTTGTTATACCAGGAGGATAGTTCTAAAAAAATCAAAAGCGATAAAACAAAGTAAAATCAAGAAAATATCAACTAAACTATAGTAATAGGTTCAAGTTAATCTAAAAGCTATAATCCCCGGCAACGGCGCCAAAATTTGATACTCTCAAACTTACTTCTCAAATAAGAAGTAAAGCGGTCGTGTCAAGTAAATAACCCAACTAGTGAGGTTTGGATCGTTCCCACGAGGAAAATAGTCTAGACTTAACTTCAACCTGTTATTACTATTGTTTGGTCAATGACTTCCTTGGAAAGTAAAAATAATAAAGGGGGTTTCTATTTCTAAATGAGTAAAATTAATTAACAAACTTGACAGAGACACTTAACAACTTTGAATGTTGAATTTCAATCAATTAATCAAAGTAACTAGGGTTTACGTGTTCTCCACAGGTTCATAACTTGATAACTCTAACTATAACAATTATTTCCTAGTATCTTGCATGAAAAGTGATAAGTTATGTATTTCTAAATCCTTGGTCCGGCATCTAGAAAATCTCACTCCGCACCTTGGTCCGGCTACGTGTGTTGCTATCCTAACCCTTATCCTTATCTCATATTAAGCATCGTATTCGATATTTGACTAAGTTATTACCTCGTACCAATCAATACTAGCCTATTAGATAGTATACACTAAATCTATGCTAATAATTATTTTCCTATTATCTACCTCCTTGGTCCGGCAAGTAGCATTAAGGCAAGTTCTAACGTTGGCCATCTGTTAAAAATAAATCTAAGTGAAAGAATTCTTAATACATGCAAGATACTATTCTAGAATTGTTATTTTAGTTAGGGTTTATCTCATTATTTGCCTATGGTTCCCACAATCCTAGTTATGGAGTTTAGTTACTCATGGCCATAAACAAAATATTCAAATATATTAAATAAGAGTTCATGTACTTACTTCAATGATAAAGAGTAAAATCCAAAAGTTTGCTTGATTAATCACCAATATTCACTTGCAAGAATCTCAAAGGAATAAATAATCTCCCAAAAAGTCTAATGATTATCAAGAATCTCACAATACAATGTTTACCAATAAGGAATTTTACAATCTAAGAGTCTAACCTCAAAAACGAGGTTTTTAGAACTATTTATAAAAAATAAAAACCTAATTAAACAAGGACTCTGTTTGCTGGAAATCTGCTAAAACGCGGCTGGGTCGACGGACCACGCGATAGATCGTCGTGGTCACGAAGGATCGTCATGGACTCCGTCATCCCAAACTTGTGAAATTTCTTCTTCTGCTCTCTTCACCACCCTCGACGGCAAGTATGACGGACAGTCATAGGCACAACGGTCCGTCGAGGGTCTTCATTACAAAACACTTCAACTCTTGGAATCTGGGTACTAGGATCACTTCTCTGAACTTCATGACAAACCTGCAGGATGGACCGTCATAGCCACGACGGACCGTCACAAGCTTCGTAACCCCACACTTGGTCAGAATTCCCCATCTTCCTTCAGCAGCTGCACTATGCTGCCACCTACGGACCATCGCAAGCACGACGGACCGTCATAAGTTCCGTAGGTGGTCTCTTCTGCATTTCTTCACTCAAAATCTCCGCATTCAGCTTTGGACAAATTTCCTGCAAAACAAAGAGAAACGTATATAAAAATTAGTACAAAAAGACTTTCGGACACACTAAACTTAAGGAAAAATTATTAATTATATCGTGAAACCACGGTATATCAGTAAAAAACTTATGCACATCAGGGACTGTATGAAGACTCCCTGTAATAACTCTTCGCTTGACAGTAACCAACCGAGCTATCACCCCCTTTTCGTTTAGAAGCTTTGCATCCCTGTAGACTTGATACCGACCACCGATGCATCACAAGTTTCGATAATCAGGAACCGATGCAAGGACATCATCGTGGGGTGCTAGATCAGAGTCAAAACTATGGACCTTATTAGATGAGGCTTGGTGGGAATGCACCTCTGGGTGAGTGGCTCCACGTGATCTGGAACTGGAGGCAGTGGCCTAACTCTGAACTTGATACCGTTTCAGAGCCAGACACTCCAGAACCCGAAGAAGATCCATATGGTGTGCCATTTAGTGTGCGCTCCTCATGAGACTGGAAAGTAGTGACTACGTCAGAAGCCACCTTTTGGGAGTGCCTGGAGTGGCTCTTGCAGCTGGTGTAGGGGTCGTGGTGCCTAGGAGTACGTATTTAGGATCCCTCTCATAGTTGGAAGTGCCAATCATTCGACGAGATAATGCCACGAACATGGACCTGCCCCTGGAATAGACGATGTCCGGTTTGCGGGCCATGAGTACCTGGAAAAACAGTTTGTTAGTCTCATAGTGATATTACTAAACACACAAAATAATCAAGCCAGAAAAATGAAACACAAATCACAGTCCAGTGTAGACGTGCAGTACTGGCTGACGGGCTTTATCGATTGTCCATCGATAGTGTCCGTCATTGGACACTTAGGAATGTTTTAAATTATTCATTCAGCAGACCTCTCAGTTTGAAACGATGGAAATGCAGAATGGCCCATCAATCAATCGACGAGCCGTAGTCCACTTCTATAGTCTGACACTTAAAGTAAATTTTAAGCTCTCACAAATCAAGGTTTTAGTTAGAAATTCCGGACATACAGAATGGCCCGTCGATCAATTAACGAATTGTAGTAAACTTCTGTCTTCTTAGAGTTGAACATTTTTAAGGTGGATCAACCGATGGACCCCATCAACAGCCTATTGATCAATCGACTGTCCGTCGATGAGGTTCGTGCTATTGGTTAGAGAAAGATTTCAGACTTTGTTTATAATAGAGCATTTTGACATGTTTTAGACCCTATAAGTTTACCCAACATATCACAACAACTACAAGACCAATTATTCATCCTTAGGGCTTCAATTTAGCAAGTTTCAATCTCATATTCTACGATGCTATCAAATCCTAAGTCGAAAAGCCAGCAATCATATTTGAAAAAGATTAAACCCCTACCTATGCAATTTTTATAATTCTAGGAGATGTATTACCCATTATTTAACAAGCACAAACATATAATTTTTTCCCTAAGTCAAGACCCACAAACCAATTTTGGTTTCCAATAGCAAATGAACGAGAATTCAATAAGCAAAGGGGATCAAAATTCCTGAAAAGCATAGTGGAGTGACTGGGTGAGTGATATTTTCAACAATCTCCGTTCCCGCCTTTGAACACCGACCGGATAAATCAAGAGAAAGTAGTAGAATTTGGGAACGAGAGGGTTTCGGGAGTTTGGATATTTTGAGAGTTATAGAGTTTGATGAAAATCGAAGGGGGAGTTATGGTGATATGTTTAAAAAGGAAGGAAATAAGGGGAGGGAAACGGTTAGGAAAGAATTTCAAAAGTTTGTGGTGGTTATTTGAAAAGTTTTCTTATGATATAACAGGTTGGGTCGGGTCGGTTCACTGGTTCTTTGGACTGACAACACTCAGTCGACGGTCCGTAAGTTAGTCGATGGACCGTCAATTGGACCGTTGATTGCACAAAAACATAGAAAAATTACATGACATACCTGGGATCTACAGAAACCTTTACGACCTATCGATGGTGTCTGCAGATCTGTGCACCAGACCATTTTCTACAGAATTCTTGGTTGTGGTCCTTACAGATTGAACACCCATTAAAATATTCTTTTTGTGTTTTTCTTGACACTTTTGAGACATGAACCCTAGACTATTCTCTAGCCATCACTAAAAACAATAACCCTAGAAGATGAGTAAAACAAAGAAAAACAAGAAAAAAGAACTATTCCTACAAAGAAAATAAAAAGCCTATTGTTGGCTAGAGGATACACCTTGGGTTGCCTCCCAAGAAGTGCTTGATTTAACATCGCGACACGAAGCATGATTCTTGGTTACTCAGATTTCATCAAGGTGATATGCCTCAACCACTTCATGGGAGATCTTCAGATTCCCTAGGTAGATCTTAATTCGTTGCCTGTTTACATTGAACTTTGCACCTTCCTTGTTCTCCAACTCAACCAGTCCATGTAAACAGTCTAGTAATAAGGAATGGTATCGTCCACTTGGACTTGAGTTCTCCCAGAAACAAGCGTAGCCTATATTTTAATAGAAGCACCAAGTTCCCAACCACAAATTCTCAATTTTCAATCTTCCGATCGTGGTACTTCTTCATATTCTCCTTCTAGAAGCATAGACTTTCATTCTCTTTTAGGCGAAACTCATTAAGCTCATTCCACCCATTGAGTCTCTGTTCCACTGCTTCATTCAGATCTATATTAAGTTTCTTCATCGCCCACATGGCCTTGTGCTCTAACTCAATTGTCAAGTGATAAGCCTTCCCATATAAATGTTGGTAGGGAGACATACCTATATGGGTCTTGTCTGCAGTCCCATAGGCCCAAAGAGAATCATAAGGCCTCCTTGACCAACCTGTTCTATTAGCATTTAGTGTTTTCCACAGGATTTACTTGATCTCATGATATTACCCCTCAAGTTGCCCACTAGTATGTGGATGGTACGGAGTGGCCACATTTTGGCAAACCCCAATTTCTCCATTAGCCCTTTAAACACATTATTGCAAAAGTGGCCACATTTTGGCAAACCCGAATCTGGAGAAGATGTTCTTTTTCAAGAACACGCTGACACTCTTCCCTCCATTGTTAGAAAGCACTATGGATTCCACTCATTTAGAAGCGTAGTCCACCGCCACAAGTATATATTTTATCCCAAGAGAACTCACAAACTGACACATAAAGTCAATACCTCATACATAAAATAACTCAATAACTAGAATTGGATTTAAAGGGAGCTTTCCCTCTTCGAAATTCCTCCATCTCATTGATACCTATCACATCACTTGGCGAACTCATGAGCATCTTGATGAATAGTTGGCCAATAGTATCCACACTGCAAAATCTTGTGGGCACTCCGGATACAACTATAGTGCCCATCTATAGACGAGGAGTGGCATGCCTCCAAAACACTTAGCATCTCAGCTTTTGGCACGCTACGACAAATAAGCCCATCAGCACAACTCCAGTATCAGTAAGGCTCATCCCAAAATAACTTTTTCACATCATTTATGAACTTCTTCCTCTGATGGAAGGACAAGTGTGATAGGACTATATCACAGGCCAGACAATTCGCAAATTCGGCGAACCATGGAACCAAGTCATGAGAAGCGTCCAATACATTCTCAACACGAAAGGTATCATCAATTTTAGCCTTTTCACCCAACTCTCACACAACTTCACCATCCAATCTGGAAAAGTGATCAGAAAATCGTAGTCTCTTTTCAATATTTTACCTCAAAATCAAACTTAAGCAATAGTATCACCCATCTAATAAACCTTGGTTTAGAATACTTTTTTGCCATCAAGTACCTCAAAGCGGAGTGGTCAGTATGCACTGTGAATCTCATGCCAAGCAAATATGAGCAAAATTTTTTGAAAGAAAATACCAGCGCAAGGAGCTCTTGTTAAGTCACATTGTAGTTATTTTGTGCTTTATTTAGGGGCTTACTTACATAATAGATGGGTGAAGTATTTTATACCTTGTTTGTCCCAACAGAACACCAAGCACAATCTCATTAGCATTACACATCACATCAAACGGTTTACTCCAATCTAGAGAAATGATGATGGGCGCAGACACCAACTTCTCCTTTAACTCTCCAAACGCCTTCAGGCAGTGTTCATCAGAATAGAATTTACATTCCTTCTCAAGTAAATTTCACAGAGAATGTGCTATTTTTGAGAAATCCTGAATAAACCTCTGGTAGAAGCCCGCATGTCCCAGAAAACTTCTTACACCTTTTACAAAGTTGGGTGGAGGAAGTCTCTCTATAACTTCAACTTTAGGTAAAACAACCTTTATCCCCTTATCCGAGATATGATGGCCCAATACTATACCTTCTTTGACCATAAAGTTACATTTTTTCCAATTTAGCAAAAGATTGCAATCTTCACATCTTTTGAGAAACCTCAGCCAAGTGACTCAAACACCGATCAAAGAAGTCACCAACAACTGAAAAGTTATCTATAAACACCTCAATAGTGTCCTCCACCATATAGGAGAATATCGACATCATACATCTTTGAAAGTGGATTGTGCATTACACAACCCAAACAACATCCTCTTGAATGTGGATGTCCTATAAAGGAATGTAAAGTTGGTCTTTTCTTTATCCTTTAACCCGAATAGTCATCAAGAAAACTATACCATCCTTTTTCTGCAGGTCTATCTAATATGTGGTCCATGAAAGGCATACGGAAATGGTCCTTCTTAGTCCATGCATTCAGTTTACGTTAATCCATACAAACTCTCTATCCAGTCACCGGCCACATTGGAACAAGCTCGTTCCTCTCATTGGGTAATAGTGTCATTCCCCCCTTTTGGGCACACACTGAACAGGGTATACCTAATTACTATCAGCAACAGGATATATGACTCCATCATCTAACCACTTAATGATCTCTTTCTTCAGTACCTCTTGCATAGATGGATTCAACCACCTCTATTTCTCAATATTAGTCTTGTGATAGGCCATGAGTTAGATTTTGTGTCAGCAAATACCAAGAGGGATTTCAATAAGGTTTGAAATAGTTCAACCAATGTCTCGTTTGAACCTTTTGAAAACTTCCACTAAACACTTTACTTGTTGCACATTCAATTCAGATGCAATGATTATTGGAAAAGTGTCATCTCTACCCAAGAATACATACCTCAGATTAGGTGGTAGATCCTGAATCTCCTCCTCAATAGATAGTCTCGTGGGTGGAGACTCGCGATGCTTCATATCTAACTCTAATTTATTGGGTTTGGACCTATATTCGTTTCGTTCAAGTGCTGCAACCAAAGACCCATAATATTCAATATCATCTCGCTCAAAATTCATGATTATTTCCACTTGTGCCTCAACACCTAGGCACTCTTGGATTGGTACCTCAAACATACCCTCAACCCTGTAGGATATAGCAGATACCGATTGGAACTCACCACTATTCTTCATGGGCCTACAAATGTTGAATGTTTCTTCTTCATTATTCAGCCTAAACTTCATCTATCCTTTTTCCATATCAACCAAGACGCGACAAGTAGCAAGGAACGAACTCACAAGAATAATAGGGACCTCACAGTCAAGAATCACAAAATTGGTTGGAAATATAAATGACTCCGCTTTCACGGGCAAATCATGGAGTATCCTAATGGGTCTCTTCACTGTTCAATCGGCCATCAGTAAATGCATCAAAGTGGGATTTGGGTCATCCAAACCTAGTTTCTTATAAATGGAAAGAGGCACGAGTTTTTATGCTTGCACGTAGATCACATAGTACTTTGGAAAAGTGTAATAATCTAATGGTATAGGGAATAGTGAAAGCGCCTTGCAGAAGAGGCCTTGTAGCAATGGCACTACAATGCTGCATTCGGTCATTATCCTCAAAACTTACTGATGTCTTCTTTGTAACCATATCCTTCATGAAGTTGGCATAACCGTGTATTTGATCCAAAGATTCTATCAAAGGGTAGTGATAAAACACTGGTGATTACCATTCTCAGTCTTCTTTACAAATCTCTAAGGGAATGGTGGAGGTGGTCTAAGAATGGGGACCACTTTTTGGGGTACCTTTGCTTTTTTTCGCTACTTTGTTCACATATTCACCCGTAGTTTCCACTACCTCTTCATATTTTCTCATCTCATCTTCTACCACAGACGCCATAGGTGGATCAATGGTTTTGTTACCTCCTCGTGTACTGACTGCCATGCAATGTCCATCATTTTTAGGATTTTGAATGGTATTGATATAAAGAGTGATCGATTGTCGTTGGTTCACAATAGTGGACAGTTGGGCCATCTGTAAGTCAAAATGCTTAATAGAGACTGCATGTGCATCCACCTTTTGCCCAATATTAGACAAATCACCTCTCAATTCCTTGGCGTGCTCATTACTAGCATCAAGCCATCTCATCATCTTCTGCAACATATCTTCAACTCGCGCCATAATACCTTCACCATCCCTAGGAGAAAGTTCTCATTTTGAGGTGGAACATAGCGCCCACTTCGATCATTTTTGTTACCGTAGTTACCCCTATTAAAGTTGTTATTGTGGTTGTAGTTTCCATCTCAAACATATTGGCCCTATCTATTGTATCCCATATTTTCAACCTTTATTTCCTTGACGTTGATGCCAATTCTCCTGATTGGAACCTTGGCCTTTTGGTAGGAAACCAACCATTTGATCATTCACTGCATAAGTATCCTCTTCATAATAGTAGTCATCCACTAGTTGTGGTGGTTTTGTCAAGTAATTCACCGCATTTACCTTCTCTGCACCAACAATGACATGTTTTAAAACCAACCCAAGCTCAGTTCTCATTTGAGACATCTCTTCACAAATCTTATCTACGGCCAGATTTTGTGTAGATTGTATTGCAAAGGTGTTTCTCCCTGTGTCGACTTTCTAGTACTCCAAGTCTTATTGTTGTGAGAGATTTTCTCAAACTTCTCTGCAATCTCTGCATATGTTCACTCACAATAAGAACCACCATAATAGGGTTGATCGCTACTTTCTTAGTATCATGTCGTACCTAATAGAAGTACTCTTTCATCGACCCATCATCAATGTGGTGGTTTGGGACACCACTCCAGTATGTAGTATATCTGTCCCAAGAGCTACTCACCGACTCCCTAGGTAGTGCCACAAAGTTGTTCACTATATCTTTGTGGTTGAACTTTTTGGACACTGGGTATTACCATGTTGAGAACACATCCCTCAACTAATCCCAAGTAAAGATAGAATTATAGGACAACTCAGTAAACCATGTTGCAGTCTCTCCCGTCAGTGATAGAGGGAACACTATCAACCCGATGACGTTCATGTCTCTGTCTGGCCTCTTCAGAGAACTCTTGCACACCAACATCAGTTTGGATATGGAGCGTGGGGATACTCAGATGGTAGCCCTAAAAACAAACCCCTTGGAGTGAGCATCTACATCAAGCTACTAGTTACCATGAACGTGTGCCCTTGGGGTAGAGGAGGTAGGACAAGTGGACCTTTAGAATCAGTGATATTGACATTTCCTTTATAGAACTCTTGAGGGTGTGGGACGGGAGGCTGCATCCTTAAGCCATCATCAGCCAAATTTTCCGCAACCACTTGATTGTGAGCATCAACCGGTGGTGGGAGCTGACAATTCATCCCATAACCTAGATTATCTGGGTTCTGCTGATTACTCATTCTTCGAAGTCTACATTTTAGTTAGGGATCGAATGTAAGTATTGGTTCTCCTTGACTACGTCTACTTATCATACACAAGAGCTAGACCTAAGAGGAAAAAAACAAAAGAAAAAGTAAAATCAGGAAT